CCCCTCCCCACACAGGTGGCTGGCAGGATCTGCTGCTCTGGGTGTACTGTGGGGCTTCATTTACCTGTTTCCAATCTATCACTTCATTAGTCCGCTAGTTCCACATGTTTTTTTTTCTCTTTACCCCTCACATACCAGGAATACTGGAGTGAATGAATCTCAGCCTCTGCCCTCAAGGTCGTGAGCCTAAGTGAGGCCTGAAGGAGGGGGAGGGGACCAGCATGTGCTGAGGCTGGGAGGCCAGACTTCCTTGGGTGTCCCACATCAAGAAATGAGGCCGGCCAGCCAGGGCTTTGTAGCCACCCGGATGCCTGTGCACTTTAACCCGAGGGTGATGGACGTCCCTTTTCCCTGTTGATTTTATCTAAAAGGTTAATTTCCAGGGGGTGGTTTAAGTCCGTGGGGGCTCTCTTGTTATGGTGTTTGTTACATAAATGCTCAGGGTAGTTCCCTATTGACAAATGGTTAGTTAGAGATGGGCCAAGCCTCCCCCAGCCCTTGGAGGGATAAAGGGCCTCTCATTAGCTTGCAGTGAGTGACTGGCAGGCTGGCACAGCCCTGCCCCGTCCCTGCTTGAACCAGGCTCTTATGTAAGCAGAGTCCCCAGGCCATTCAGTCAGCCCAGGGGACTGCAGGGTATGTGTCCTACCCTGGGCCCTTCGGAATTCTTATTTTCTTCCTGTTTAAAGGGAGCGTTGGCCAGGGCCATGCCAGTTGTGTGGTGGGCCCATGGGAACAGTGTCTGTCATCAGGGTGGATGTGGGCTGGCCAAGTCTGGGAGAGGGTGGTTTAACATTGGCACTGAGGCTTCACGGAGCATTAGGAAGCAGGTTGAAATTTGAGGGGGTCACAAAGGGAGCCTCCAGTCTTATGGGGAGAAGCTGTCTCCCAGGCACCTTAGGAGTCTATCTCGGCAGGGGGTTGCTGCATCAGGCTTGTCAAGAGCTGGGGTTGGGAAAGCGTAGCTCTTGAGGGTGGGTGAGGGTAATATCAGAGTTCTTGGGCGATCTGTAGTCTGAAACAGTATATTATTGGATACTATTTGCTCTAGAGAATCAAGTCAGACAAAATCTCCGGGCTGGGGGTGAGGATCTGTAGAGGACAGGGCTGGAGTTCAGATGGGTAACTCCAGTGCTGGGACGTTTTGGGGAGAGGCTGCTATTCTCATCTTGTGTGGAAATCCTGTCATTCAGGTTTCAGCTTGAATGTCACCTCTCTGAGAGGCTCCCCCTGACCCAGCCAGGCCACCCTATCACCTGTCACCCTATCACCTCTCCTGTGTTAGTTCTCCACACAGACGTAGCACCTCCAGGGAGCATGTCAGTGTGAGTCCCTCACTCTCCTCTTTAACCGCGGCTCCTGGCGGGGCTCGGGAGACATGTGGAGCGAGTGATTTGGTGTGTCTGCTAGAGACACTGTCCTGTAGAGCAGGGTGCAGGGTAGGCCCAGGCAGTCAGCCATGCCCCCCCCCCCCCCCCCCGAAGGCACCGCAACTCCAAGGGAAGGACCTTTGCCTGCTTGCAGGGTGCTTGTTTGTTTCAAGGCCTGGAGTTTATGGCTTGGAGTGCATGTGGCTTCCCTGTGTTAGCGTTGGCCCCCTTCTGTCGTGAAGCTGGTCTCTGCTCATCTTGAGCTATTTTGGAGCTTGACCATTCTCTTTTTGCCCCTTTTGACCCAAAGTTACCTGAACTCTTGAGTTGTCCTGTAAGGATAAGATGGGGATCCTGTGGGAGGTGCTGAAGCCATGATCAGTCCCCAAAAATACTTCCTGCCAGACTCCTAGGCCAGCTCAGGAACTGCAGTGCCCACCACATTCCAGCTCACCTGGGGCCTCTGGACAGACACCATTTCCAGTCTCCGGCTGGGTCTTAGAACATGTACCATCCAGGGAGAAAGTATGGGGAAGGATGTCCCTGTCAAGACTCTTCGATTCCTTTCCTCTTGCTTCATTTCACTTTCAACCAGAAGGGCAGAGCAGAGCCAGCAGGCACCTGTGGGGCTTGCAGGTGGGAAGACAGCCGTGGGCGTCTTCCTGAACCTCTCGCAACAGGTAGGGCTGGCATTTTCAGTTTACCTTTCCCTTGATAGATGTGGCTAAACATTAGAAACATTCCAGAAACCCAGTACCCTCTTGCTCTTGTTACTACTCTATCTTCATCCCAAAATGTACATTTTTCCCCTCAGCATTTTCAGAAGTTCCTTATGATATATATATATATATATGTGTGTATATGTATATATGTGTGTGTATGTATATATGTGTGTGTGTATATACAAGATATATAATTTATATCTTGACATAGGAAGTTTATTTTTTCTCTTAAAAGTCGGCGGCTTGTTTTGAATCAGTGACAACTCAGGATCCAGGAACTAAGGTGTCTCTTCACCACTTGCCACCTCTATGCTCCAATATAAGCCACAGAGTCTCTGGCCTGGGTTGTTTCTGAGACTCTCTGCTGTATCTGCCTGCTTGCGGGCCTTGCCCGCCCCCCCACTGGCTGCCCAGCAGGGAGAGGGGTCCTTCCAAAAACCAGACGAGTTGTGGCACTCCAGCAGCTTTCCAGAGTGCTTGTCCTGACCGCCCTTCCAACCTCCTCCTCTGTCGTTTGCTTGCAAGTCACTCTGCTTCAGCCTTTTGATGTTCTTGAGCCCTGCAAAGCTCCGTGCTGCCACAGGGCCTTTGCACCTCCCCCAGGGAAGCCTTGCGGTTTGGTTCAAATCACACTTCCTTAGAAAGGCCTTCACTGACCACTCCTGTGGCACTCTGGTCTCCTGCCCTTTGTTTTCTTTTTGGCGCCTGGTACAACCTGACCTCGTGTCACGTGATAGATGCTTTGCATGTGTTCCCCTTGAGGGTAAGTAGATCCCGTGGAGGGCATGGCCTTCTTGGCTGTGCTCACTGTTGTATTCCATCACCTGGAACACTGCCCAGCACCCTGCTGTTACAAATAGTTCTTTCTGTTCATCCTGGAGCCCAGCACCTAGCACGGGTTGGCACATGGCTCGGCTCAGCAAGTGTTTGCTGCGGGGGTGAAGAACACGAACTTCTCTGCCAGCAGAAAAGGCTTGTAGAGGTTCCAGATGCCCTCTGCACACTGTTGAGCCCTTTGCAGGTTCTGTGCAGCAAGCATATCCTTGCTCTGTGTGGGCGTGGGCCATGGCTTCTAGTAGGGAGGGGTTCCCTGGTCTGGGCCAGCTGCTCTGGAGGAGCACGGGGACCGGGCTTGCTATGCAGGAGGCAGCCACAACCACTCAGCCGCCCTCGGGCTGAGCCCAGTGGCTCACTCTTACATACTGAGATTTCATAGCCTAGGTTCGAGCTCCTTTGGGCCAGGTAGGGTCCCAGGAGATGGGCAGCCAGGAGAGCTGTGGCCAGACTGGAAGGTGGGGCCCGGATCTCCCACCCTAACCTGGTAACACCTGCCATGCCACTTGCCTCTTGGGGACCTACATGGGGGTGAGAAAATGAGTGATGCCAGTCCCTGGGGACCAGGTCCTATTGCCAGTCCTAGAACTGGGTCCCAAGTCTTTACTTTCAGAAAAACAGGGGAGGGGTGCCTACCTAATGGGTTAGTCATTGTAGCGAAAGCAGCCCTAGACAATACGTCAACCAAGGAGCATGGCCAATACAACTTTGTGGATACTGACATCTGAATTTCTTGAAGTAGGTTTCCTTTGATTTTTTCCAACCATTCTTAGCTTGTACACAAAGAGGCAGATAGGGGACCGGAATTGGCCTGTGGGCCATGGTTTGCTGACCCCTTGGTCTAAGCCAGTGGTTGGCAAACTGCAGCTTGGCAAACTGCGGCTCGCGAGCCACATGCAGCTCTTTGGCCCCTTGAGTGTGGCTCTTCCACAAAATACCAGCTCTTCCACAAAATACCGACTTCTGCGCATGGGCCACGAAGTTTCAGTTGCACTGTACGCGCGCGCCCGCACGTGGTATTTTGTGGAAGAGCCACACTCAAGGGGCCAAAGAGCCGCATGTGGCTCGCGCGCCGTGGTTTGCTGACCACGGGTCTAAGCCATCCTTTATTCGTGATAGAATTATTCCAATAGCCTACTGCCACCATGTTTCTTTACTGCTCCTTTAAGAACCCAAGTCAGGTCATGTTCCTGCTCTGCCCAGAACTCTCTATAGCCCCCACCTCACTCGGAGTAGAAGCCAAAGTCCTTACCCAACCTATGAGACCCTGCACCCCTGGTCAGCACCCTGCCCTCATCTCCTCCCAGTCCCACCCTTGTTCCCTCCCTCCAGCCACAGGGGTCTCTGCTCTGTTGCTTGAATGCACCAAGCATGCTGCACAGGCCATTCCTCTGCCTCCATGCAGATCTCTGAACTGCTCTTTCCTTCACTGCTTGGCTCAATGTCCCTTTAGGGAGGCCTTTCTTAACTATATGTAAAACTGAACACCGCTTTACTGCCTCTCCTGTCCCCTTTTCCTATGGTACATGTCATCTTCTATATATATAAAAAAGCCTAATATACAAAGTGTCCCCTTGGGAGTTTGACCCACCGGGAGTTCGATCACTCGTTATGACGTGCACTGGCCACCAGGGGGCAGCGCAGAATGAAGGAAGGCCCTGGCCTGTAGCTGGCAGCCACTAGGGACCCTACTCATGTACGAATTTTGTGCACTGGGCCTCTAATCCTCTGATATGTTATGTGTAACTGTCTCCATTCCCAGACTAAAATGTCAGCTCTGCAATGGGCAAGGTTTTCTGTCTTCTTCCACCCCAGAATCCCTAGAGCCCTTAACAGTGCCTGCTTGGCTTGTAGTAGGTGCTCAGCAGTATTTATGCAGGAAATGAATAAGATTGTCTCCTCATCTGCCAAAGGGGGCTAATAGTAAAGGAGGTAATTCACGTGGAGGACGTGTCTCCGTGTCTGGCACACTGTAAGTGTGCAGGAAGCACCAGCTGCCGCCGCCTGTGTACGGCTGGCAGTGTGGACTCCAGACCGGCTGTTCTGCAAGCTGAGCTCCCCGGGGTGGACTAACCTGCTTGCTGCACTGGGGCTGGGAGAGCTGGGCGCACAGGTTGGGGGCCGGCCTGGATGAGCTCCTCCTGCCGCTCTGGTCAGCCTGTGTCCACAGGGGTCAGCATCTCCGGCCTCTTCCAGTCTTCTGATCCAACAGTGCCTTCCTGCCCAGAGATACGGAGAGACAGGTGGTCACCAACCTCAGACTGGCTATGGGGTACAGGGGTGCAGACCTGGGTCATCTCTGGGGGATGGGCCTGGGACAGCCCTGGAGGAAGAGTATTCAGTTCCTGAGGAGCAGAGACAGATGGGGTCCTGCTCCTGGAGCTTGTGCCTGTGTGCCCTTGAGCGACGACCTGTGCTTCTGAGCTTCGGCCTCCTCCTCGGTGAAATGGTGTGACTGCCAACCTAAAAGGGAGCCAGTGGTGGTGGTGGAGGCTGTGTGCTCAAACCCACGGGAGGGGGCAGTGAAGGGGGTGGGTTGGCGGGAGAGCGACCTCAGGGGTTGGCTGAGGCCCCACTGCAAGGGTCTGGGAGGGCTGCCTCTGCTGTGGTAAGAGTTTTGGGCTTCTTCCAGAGGGCAGGGGTTTGAGGAAGGCAACCCAGGTTGAGGGGTCGCCTCAATCTGTCACCTGGGAACTTCCGAAGCTGTGGATTCCGGGCCCCATCAGAGATCCCGATTCCCTTATCCAGGCTGTCTCACAAGCAGGCAGGGTTTAGGACCACTGGGCAGGGCTTCTGTGTTAGGTCCTTTTACGAACATTCCCATTGACCAGATGGAGAAGCCAAGACTCAGGCGGGGAAGCTTGGGCAGACTCTGGCCTTGCAGCACTGCCTCTCGCTCAGTGTTGGCTCGCCTGTGGCACTGCTTTTCTGGGCCTGTTGATGGCCTTAGCCTGTGACAGGAAAACGTGCGGGAAGGGTTTAGACGGCTGCTGAGCCTGCCTGGGACCCTCTGTGTGGTGTCAGGAGTTGACAAGCCTTTTGCCCTCCATAAGGCCTGACTTCTGGGGCCAAGGGCGGCTGAGGCCAGGGAGGAGTAAGCTCAGTCCTTGGGCTCCCCTGCAGGGCACTCCTTCTGTAGGTGGCATCTTTTGCAGAGTCCAGACCTTCCAGACTGGTGTCCTGAAGTTGGAGTGGCAGCAGGGAGGAGGGTGCCTTCCAGATAATCTGATCCAGGGCTTCCCTGTCTTTTTCTGTTAGCATTTAGTTCTGCTTTTCAGAGTGGAGGCTGTATTGCATCATAGTGACAGGGGCTGTGAGCCAGCAGTCTGGGTCGGTGTTGGCTCTGGTACTTCCTGGCTACATGTCTTGGGCAAGGGCCCCCTTGTTTTTCTTTTTTAAAATATATTTTTATTGATTTCAGAGAGGTAGAAACATAAATGATGAGAGAGAATCATTGGTCGGCTGCCTCCTGCACGCTCTCCACTGGGGATGGAGCCCGCAACCCGGGCATGTGCCCTTGACCGGAATTGAACCTGGGACCCTTCAGTCCACAGGCCGATGCTCTATCCACCGAGCCAAACCGGCTAGGGCCGTGGTTGGCAAACCGCGGCTTGTGAGCCACATGCGGCTCTTTAGCCCCTTGAGTGTGGCTCTTCCACAAAATACCACATGCGGGCGTGCACGTACGGTGCGACTGAAACTTCATGACCCATGTGCAGAAGTTGGTATTTTGTGGAAGAGCCGGTATTTTGTGGAAGAACCACACTCAAGGGGCCAAAGAGCCACATGTGGCTCGCGAGCTGTGGTTTGCCGAGCTGCAGTTTGCCGACCACTGGGCTAGGGCAAGAGCCCCCTTGTTTTTGAACCCTGTTATGTGAGCCACCCAGCAGGGGTCACAGGCCGAGGTGAGGCTAGGTGAGTTATGCAGATGAAAGTCTTAGCTGAGTCCTAGGAACGAGGTCAGCATCTGATACATGTTACTCGTGGTGGCATTTCCAAATGGAACAGGTACAGCCTGTAGTCACCCAGAGAGGTGCGTGGGCTGTGGGTGCTGGCGAGCAGCCAGTCAGATCCAGGCCTGAGACCCAGAGTCCCCCGTTGTGTTAGTCCAGCGCCCCTTTCATCTTGGGCCTTCTGTGGTCTCAGTGACCAACCTGGGGGCACCCGAGCACCTGAAAAACATCCTCTGAGGCTAGTTGCTACCAGATACGTTGCCAGCTTCTCCTGGCCCTGGGTCCCACAGCCTAGGGACATGGCATCCAGACTTTGTGACCCCTCATCTGGCCAGTGGGCGCAGGGTCTGGGAGCTGGCTGGGTGGGTGCCTGGGAAGAGTGATCAGCTTCTCTCTGTCCTTTCCCGGTCTGGGATGATGACATTCCACCCCCACCTCTGCTGCCCCGGGCTCTTCGGCTGCCCTGGGCTCCTCCGAGAAATGGGGTCACAAGGCGAGGCCACTGGGGAAGGAGGTATTTCTGGCTGAGCAGGTGTGGCCTGTGCTGGCATCCTGGCAGCTGAGCCCAAGGTCTTTTCAGCTGCTCTGGCAGGAGCAGTGTGACTTCGATATTTTGGAAAGTGTAAGGGAAAGCGAACCTAGAGTGCTGAGCTGCTGAGTGTGGCAAGTGCGCTCAAGCCTCGCATTGGTGAAGTTGGTTAGGTAGCCGAGATGGGCCAGGCCGCCATCCTGCTGTGCCCTGTGGTGGCTGTGGGAGCTGAGTGCCTGGGCCGGCCGGCTGAAGGACCTGCTGGGTCATTTTCATTTTTGCCTGGAGTCCTAGGCTGCTCTGAGCAGGGTTTGCACCACAGCAGGCCTCTTGTGCCCCAGCTTGGGGAGAAGATGTTGCCCACCAGAGCACACAGTCCTCTGCAGGTACTGGCTGGGTGCTGCTAGGCTGCCCAGCATGCCACAGCCCAGTTTAAGGGCCTTTTCCTGGCAGACAATCCCCTGTGGCATCCCAGAGAGCCTGCTGGAGGCTGGGTGTGCTGCCCTGTGCCACCTGTGTGTGGGCCACTGTAGAGCATGTCCTGGCTGGAGGTGCAGCCCCAGAACACTGTGTGTGGTTGCTGGTCTGGGCTCAGGCATTTGCATGACTTGGGTGCACTCTGCACCCTTTGGAACTTGGCTTCCTCATGGCTCCTGCTCCCTTGGCCACCGTAGGGACGAGGGAGGATGAGGAGAGGGGGCTGGGAAACTTGCCATTCCGGACCAATTGTCCTCATTCATAGCCACCAGACATTCCCTTCTTAGGACACACAGCAGTTCCTGCTGTAAAGGTGGGAGGTGTTAAATCCATGCTGACTTTTTGGCCTCTTCCAGTCCCTCGTCCAAGGCCCTTGAGGCCATGGAGTCTGGTTTACTGGTGGGAGGAGCCTGGGAAGCACCAGGCTGGCTGTGCTTGTAAAGATGGCGAAGCACAGGCTCCTGGCTCCGTGACCTGGGCACTGGTGCTGGGCCCTGTGTGTTGTGTTTGCCTGGTGGCTCCTGCAGAGCGGAGCAGCATCACAAACAGCTCTTCCTGCCTGGGCTCCTCCCACCGGCCTCCTACTTGCTCTTCCCGCTCGTGGGGCTCAGACAGAAACCTCAGGTTTCTCTCTCCTCTCATCTCCACATGCCAGCAAATGATCAGCAGATCCTGTTTCCTCCACCTTCATAGTCTGTCCGCATTTCCCACTTCGCACCCCCATCCTCACCTCCATCCTGGTCTCCCAATTCCCAGGTGGCACCTGTGAACACCTGAGTCAGGTTATGCTCCTCTTCTTCTCATGAACCCTCCAGGCTCCTGCCTCACTCAGTAAAAGCGAGAATCCTCTCGGGTTCACAAGGCTCTGTAGGAGCTGCCCCTTTTACTCCCCGTCTTCATGTCCTCCCACTCTCCCCTCACTCCCTCTGCTCCGGCCGCGTAGCCTTCTTCCTGCTCCACAAACGCGCCTGGCACCATTGCACTTGCCGTTCCCTCTGCTTGGAATACTTCCCCCCGAGATGTGTGCATGGTGTGTTCCCTCATTTCCTCCTGGCCTTGGCTCAGACGCCCACCCTGAGGGAGGCCTTCTCTGATCACTCTGCCTAAAATGGCCACCCTCCCCACTCCTGATGCCCCAGCCTTCCCATTCTGTTTTACTTCGCAACCCTGGGTGACACAAATCATGCCACTATTGCCTGCCCCTACCCCCTGCTTGCCGCCCCCCAGCACACAGACTGTAATGCAGGTCCCCTAGAGGCAGGGGCTTGGTTTTGTTCACTGCAGCTCCCAGTCATGGGAAGGAGGGGTGCAGGAATGAATGAAGAAGCCTCTTTGCTGGTAGGTGGCAGAGCTGGGGTTAGGGCTCGCTCTCTTGGTCCCTTCCTGGTCCCATCCTGTACTGGAATTGGGACGCGGAGTTGGGACCAGGGGACTGTGGAGCAAAGCTGCTGCGAGCACCCTTCCAGGATGTGGGACTGTGGGATGGAGCTGCTGCCACAAGGGGGCAGCAGAGATGTGGCAGCCTCCAGCGCTGGTGAACTGTAGTAATACCCTAGTAGGGACTGCGGCAGAGGCCCCACCTCTCGTCCCAACCCGAGTCTTACTATTGTTAGGGTTGTGCTCACTGTCAGCAGCTGGATGAAGCATCATCGCACCAACCCCCTGACGTTGATGTCCTGTAGATGGGCCCTTTGATGTCCGTGGTCAGGATTTGGGGACAAGAGGCCTGGCTCCCTGGGCAGTTGGCAGTGCTATTTCACTAGTATTGGTCTGCATTATATTTATCCTTTATAAAACTTAATTCTAGGCTGGCTGTATTTATGTACTTTTTTTGGTGGTTATTATCTCTGTAAATCTTGCAGTAACCCTTTGAGATGGCAGGTGGGGGCAGCCTACTTTGTAGATGAGGAAACAGGTAACTTCAGGGCCTCACAGCCAGGAAGTAGGTGAGTCGTTGCTTAGGAGCCTTACACGGGTGTTTGCAGAGCACAGCTCCATGCTGGGGTATGTTCCGGGTGCTGGGAAACAACTGACAGCCCAGTGGGAGGTAGATGGTAAATGTCTGGGGGTTGATATTTTAAGCTGATGGCCAGGAAGGGCCTCCTCACTGCAAAGTCGTCTGAAGGTCTGAGGAGATAGGGGAGGAGCCCTGTGGGGTCTGGGGGAGAGTGTTCTAAGCAGCTGGAACAGCATGTGCAAAGTCCCGAGTCTCTCTTACGGTTGCATAACTATGCTCTTGTTCTGTCATCGCCAGACAGGGCCGACCCCTGGATCCTTGCCTCCCTGACAGCTCTGGGCACTGGCGCTAGCTTGGAGCAGGTGCTCAGAAACCGCTCCCCTCTTTCTACTACTGCTACCTTGATCAGTAACATTTTTATTTCCACGAAGACAGTGAAGGCCAGGGGCCCTGATGCTCCACAGTGGCTCTGGGTGCTCCTCTCTGGGTTGGGGAAGACCACAGGGTGGCTTCTGCTCGTCCCCTCCTGCGAGGTGGGCTGTGGTCTTGCCCCTTGTCCTCGCCACCCCCCACGCCCCTCTGCCACCTTGTGCTGCCACGAGTTGCTGTTGGCTGGGCCCCAGAATCTCAGGCCTCTGGGTGAGAATGCCTCCCAGGCTAGTGGAATGTCATCGTATGCACCCCAGGCCAGGGTGCCTGCCCTGCCCTTGTCCTCTGTCCATTGTAGGCCATGGGGCCACACTCCCTGCCTACAGCCACTGATGGACCTTGAGCCAGTGACCTCCTCACAGGCCTCACTTCATCCATCCATAGAGTAGAACATGTTGCCCTTTCCCAGCCCCTTCCCTCTGTGGGGCAGGAAGGGCTGCCCCTGTGTTCCTCAGTAGGGCCCACCACTCCTTCGCCTTCTCCCCAGGATGGGGCCTGGGCCTGCTGTCTTTTCTGTGCTCAGCAGTTGCCTGTGCTCTTTGACCTCAGGCTTGGGTCCTACCCTGGGCCCCTATCCCACTCTGGCCTCAGGGCTGGGCAGGCATGTGGTACTTGTGTTTCTGAAGCATAGGGCATGGGAGGCATGCTTGGGCACAGAGCAGGGGGTAGGGGTGGCGCTGAGGTGGGGAGGGTTGCAGTTGGGGGGGTGAGCTCAGGGACTGAAGACTGGGAAGCACATGACAGGGCCCCCACCTTTAGGCCGTCAGTGTGGGTGGGGGAGGGGGTGAGGAACCTCTGCTGCTCCCTGCCCAGAGACCTTTGTTTTGATGGGTAATTGGGACTTGTTAGCCTTCCCACCTAAAAACTTAATTGAGGTGAAATTCACATAACACAACACCCATTTAAAAGTGAAAAGTTTAGCGGCACTTAGTACATTCACAATGTTGTACAACCACCGACCTCTTCTAGTTCCACAACTTGCCATCTCCTCGAAAGGAGACCAGGTCCCCATTAGCTGATGCTCCCCTTCCTCACTCCCCCAGCCCCTGGCAACTACCATTCTGCTTTTTGCCTTTGGGATTTAACAGTTAGGGACATTTCATATACAAAGTGACCCCTTTGTGTCTGGCTTCTTTCACTTGGTAAAACTTTTCCCCCAACTAGCATAACTTTTTATTTTGAAATAATTATAGAGACACAAGGAGATGCAAAAACAGTACAGAGAGGTCCTCGGACATCCCCCCCCCCCCCCCCCCAGGGCCTTTCAGACCTCTCTTGGGGTAAAGATGGCCTCTGGGCCCCAGGATTTGGGGCCAGGAAATGGGAAATGAGGACTGATCCTGTCGGGTGGCCTGAGCTGGAGCAGCCCCCACCCTGGTGGGTCGGGCCCCTCGTACTGCCCTTGGGCTGAGCTTACCTCTGTGAGGGCTCAGTCTCTCCTGTCCTTTGGTCTTGGGCTGGCCTGGGCGCAGTGTGGCGGCTGCTGGGAGTCTCGCCCCTCTCCTGGCCGCCCTCTCCTGCTGCCCAGCTTCCTCTCCCAGCAGCCAGTTGGGCCCCCGACGGCTGTCCTCTCCTCCTGGGCCCTGGTCTCATGCCCAGTTGGGGGAGGGTAGAATTTTAGCCCTTCCCCAGCAGCTGGCAGGCAGGGAGCGGGCTGGTTGTATTTTAAGCTGTTGAGTGGTTCAGCAGGAACTCAGAGGCCTCTTTCCCCGGAGGCACGGTGTTGCCTTCCTGTGGACCACACCGGCTCTGAAGGCATGTGGGCACTGCCCGCCTGGGACCCAGCAACTATTAATATACCCGCAGCCACGGGGCAGGCACAGGGCCCTGCTGTTCTAGCCCTTCCCGTACATTTGTGTGTGCCCCGTCCGTCTCCCATGAGGCCCCTTGGTGGGACTGGTACTCCAGGTGATGAGACCAGCTTTCTGTTTTTGGCCCCTCTGTCTGGCCTTGTTACCCCTGTGGCTCAGAGGGTTCAATAACCTGTGCCCAAGGCCACAGGGCCTGGCCGAGCTCTCTCTAGTGTGTGAACAAGGCAGGTTGGCCAAGACTTCTTGGGTGCTGGGCCCTCTCCTACCGCAGGTCCATGGGGTGGGTGCTGCAGCCACCAGCTGGCCAGCAGGGAGCTGGGATTTCACCCCAGGCCATGTCCTTCCCTTCGTGGCAGCTCCACAGGCTTTGGGACATTGTGCGTCTGTCAGGCACCACGCTGCACTTCTCGTGCGTTGTCTCATGGGACCCTCCCAGCCCTGCTATGTGCTCCCCAGGCCGAGGCCCAGAAGAAGTGATTCTGTGGCAGGGCCAGATTGTCCCATGTGCTGTCCACCACATCCCCTGCTTCTCTCACTGTCGGTGTGTGTGTGTGTGAGGGGAACCCCTTCTTTCAAGGGCCTTGGGTGGGTGGCATGCCCTCAGAAAGCCTTGCGTGGACCTTGCATGGGGTTTCGAGCCCTGCGCCTCTTCCCCACGCTGCCACTGACTGAGGGCCACCAGGGGTGGGAAGGGTCCTCAGCACGTGTTTCCCAGTGGCCGACTTGGGGACAGACCCAGCCCTACCTGCCCCTGCTGGGTTTGAGCTCTGGCACGTAGGCCTTTCAGGACCGGCCTGCCCACCGGGCCTCAGTGCTGCTCTTCCATGTCCGTGGTGTCTGCTTTGACCTGTGTGGGGTGGTGGGTCAGATCTCCCCTCCCTCCTGGAGCTTCTTCCCTCCCAGCAGCACCCCTCTGCTCTGCACTGTCTGGGGTTCAGGGAGACCGTGTGTGAAGTGGGCTGTGTGCTCTGGGCTTTGGGGATCTCAGGATCTGGGCAAGGCAGCTATGTTGGGCTTACATGATGGGAAGACTGCCCTGAAGGTGACCTTGAACATGGTCTGGGTGGATCTAGTGAAAATGTGTGGAGAGGGAGGTCAGGGAGGTGGGGCCAAGGCCTCATCAGCCCAGGCTGGGGTGCTTTCTGGAAACTTCCCGGTTTCTTTCCCCTTTCCCCTCAGAGGCTCTCTGCACCAACAACTCTGGAATCTGTCACCTCCCTGGGAACACAAATGCACAAGGGAAATAATCCGAGTGTCTCTCACAGCTCAGAAGGGGAAATGGATGATCTAGCTCTCGGATTCTCAGATAGCTGGGATTCCTCCAAGCCCAGTGATCTCTGCCGGCCTGAGCCGGGTGCCGGGGTGTGGGCTGGCCTCTTACCCTCCTCCTCTCTGGGTATGGGGGCCAGGAGACACCTCCATGCCTTCCTCTGGAGACCTCCCTACCCACCAGTGTTCTTTGGGGGCTATGTCCACTTGAAAACCTCACTTTCAGGGTGACCCAGCCCCTGGGGGGCTGTCCGCGATCTGTGCCATGGCTCCTCGGGGGCTCAGTCTGGGAAGTTTTATATTTAGCTGGGCATGGCTGTAGGGCCACTCGGGTTACAGCTGCACAGAAGGTGGCAGTGCCAGGGCAGGCGTGGGCTCCTTTCCAGCGCCGCGGCAGAATTTGATCGCATGGCCTGCCCCAGAGCGCTGTGCGTGGGGAGGTCGGTGGTGGGGCCTGACAGCCGGCAGCTTGGGCCACTGGCCTCGTGGGCAGAGCAGGGTGGCATGGACCTGAGTGTGAGCTTGGTGGCCCGGGAGGCCAGCCAGGGCCAGGGCCCCAGCCCTAGCGTAGGCCTCAATGGCCTGCCCCGGCCTGCACCCCCCAAAGTGGCCAAGAAACCTAAAAAGGGCGTTCTCTTCTTTGAGGTGGAGATTCTGGATGCAAAGACTCGGGAGAAGCTGTGTTTCCTGGACAAGGTAGGACCGCGGTGCCGGCTGCACTGGGTCAGGGTGCTGGGCCCATGCCTCTTCCTTATGGGGCTCCTGACCACAAGGGAGATGGGGGTGCTCCTCCAAACTGCTTGGGAGGTGCACAAGGGGTCCTATCCTCAGGCCTGGGCCTGTCCCTGCCAGCTCGGGGTAGAGCGGGCAGCCCTGGCCGCTGGGTGTGGCCGGGACTTGGCCTCACCGTGCAGGAGGAGGTGAAGCAGCCTCAGTGGAGCCTGCAGGGCTTTGGGCTGGGAGGGGGTAGAATTGTGACCAGGCCAGGGCAAGGGGCTTGTCCCTTCCTAGGGGAGGTCTGGCCTGGACTGTGGGTCTTTACTCTGGGGGAGATGTGGGTAGGGGTGGAGAGGAGAGGCCCAGCTTCTCCTGCTCAAATGTCTCCCAGCTTGGCTGGGGGCATCCTGGCTGCCTGGTAAATCTGGGCCCTCAGGCCCACTGCTGTCCCCACTCTGACAGGCCCTTGCTGCTCCTCTCGGCCATATGGGTCTGGGGCTTGGACCCCAACCTTCCCCACTCCCATAGCAGCTACCCAGGCCCCCATCCACCCCCACCTCAGCAGGAGGGATCCTGGATCAGGGGTCCTGGCTCCCCCCAGGGCTGACTTCCCTCCGGCCCGTGCTTCCCTCAGGTGGAGCCCCATGCCACCATCGCAGAGATCAAGAACCTTTTCACTAAGAGCCGTAAGTCCAGGGCCCAGCCACACTGCCTCCTGCAGCCCCTCTGGGCAGGGGCCTCTGGGTGGGACCCCTCCTGGCAGCCTCTCCCGCCAGGGTCTGCAGAGATGCCCATAGTGGAGCCCAGGACTTTCTGGGCTTGCCCGTCGCAGCGCCCCCGTGTGGCCACTGGTAGGAATGCCCTTGCTTGATTTTCGGAAGGACAACATCCAGCTTCTGCCAGTGCTCTTCCGGGCTGTGTCCTGGAGCCACACAGGCCACAGGGGCCTTGCTCTCAGTTGGAGGAGCTGTGGGGTCCTTGGGCCGCACCAGGCTGTGTGCTGTGACGCCCTGCTCTCCCCGCAGATCCACAGTGGTACCCTGCCCGTCAGTCCCTCCGCCTGGACCCCAGTGAGTACAGCTGTTGCTTGACCACCCCTGGGCACCCCGGTGGCAGTGGGAGGCCTGGGTAGCTCCTGAGCTGTGGCCTGCCTCTCTGCAGAGGGCAAGTCCCTGAAGGATGAGGACGTTCTGCAAAAGCTGCCTGTGGGCACCACAGCCACACTGTACTTCCGGGACCTGGGGGCGCAGATCAGCTGGGTGACGGTGAGTCCTGACCCTACTACCTGCAGCCTCCTCTCCCATCAGCCACATTGGGGTGACTCACCTGCCCGTCTTCCCAGGTCTTCCTGACGGAGTACGCGGGACCCCTTTTCATCTACCTGCTCTTCTATTTCCGGGTGCCCTTCATCTATGGCCACAAATATGACTTCACGTCCAGCCGGCACACGGTGGTGCAGTGAGTGGGTCAGGGTGGAGGGGGTGATGGGGGGTGGGGAAAGGCCCGTGGATTGGCCCCTCTGAGCCAGCTCTCCTCCCAGCCTCGCCTGCATCTGCCACTCATTCCACTATGTCAAGCGCCTACTGGAGACGCTCTTCGTACACCGCTTCTCCCATGGCACCATGCCCTTGCGCAACATCTTCAAGGTAAGGCCCCGGGCCTGGTGTCCCAGGCCCACCCACCCTAGCCCCGCCCTCGCAGGACCCAGCTCTCTCTGCCCACACCCTTTAGGGTGGACCCCCACCCCCCGGACCCCGCCCTCCACTGGGCCAGGCCCCATCCTGGCCCTGCTCCCTTTCAGAATTGCACCTACTACTGGGGCTTCGCTGCGTGGATGGCCTATTACATCAACCACCCTCTCTACACGCCCCCCAGTAAGTGGCTTTGGGACCCTGCTCCTCCTGTGAGCCCCCATCCCCCACCAGGCTCCTCTCATCGGCCTCCCCTCTGGCTTTCTTTGCAGCCTACGGAGCTCAGCAGGTTAAACTGGCACTGGCCATCTTTGTGGTAAGCAGGCAGGCTGGTGTGTGTGATGGGGTGGAGGGAGTCTGGGGGGCTCTGGGCTGACCCTGCTCCTCTGACAGATCTGCCAGCTGGGCAACTTCTCCATTCACATGGCCCTGCGGGATCTGCGGCCAGCTGGTGAGTGGTCTCCTCTGGGCAGGGGGTGGGCAGGCTGGGCCAGGGGGTCTCACTCACCCTTCCCATCCTGCCTGTCAGGATCCAAGACCAGGAAGATCCCATACCCCACCAAGAACCCCTTCACGTGGCTCTTCCTACTGGTGTCCTGCCCCAACTACACCTATGAGGTGAGGGCCTGTCCTGCTCCCCTCTCCCTTATGGGACTTCAGGTTCCATGTGAAGGGGTCAGTCCCTGGAAATAGAGGTCTCGGCCCTGGGGCTCACCAACATTTACGAGGTGGGGAGTGGGGAAGAATCAGGTTGCCTGGCTCAGCAGTTGCTTTTGCAGTTTGAACCTGAGAGCATCTGGAGATGCAGACTGTGGCCCCGGGGGGTTGGGAGTTGTGTAAGGCTGGGCTTGTGGCTGTTAAGGGCTGAGGGGCATGTGGGCCCCCGCCCCCCACCCCCAATAGCTGGCCTGCCCTCATCTCCACCCTGTGCCCACAGGTGGGATCCTGGATAGGCTTTGCCATCATGACACAGTGTCTCCCAGGTGAGCCCACTTCCCCCCTCAGCTGGGCCCTGCCCCACTCGGTGCCATGCACCCTCCCTAACCTCCTGCTCTGCTCTGCAGTGGCCCTCTTCTCTCTGGTGGGCTTCATCCAAATGACCATTTGGGCCAAGGGCAAGCACCGCAGCTACCTGAAGGAGTTCCGAGACTACCCACCCCTGCGCATGCCCATCGTCCCCTTCCTGCTCTGAGTCGCCTGCCTCCACCAGCAACTACAGTCAGGCTCTCGGGAGCCGGGCTCTCGTACCCCACCGTGTCCTCCTCGGGGAGGAATGGGGTACACTGCTCTCCAGCACCTGGAATAAAATCTGCCTGCCCGGCTGCACTCGGACTCAGGCTCTGTGTGTTTCTTTGGGGGGTTTGGGGACCAGTATACCACAGGAATAGGCAGGGCATGGGCTGAGGGCCTGGAGGCTTTTATTTCTCCCCTTGTCCAAGGGTGGTGGGTGGGCCCCACTACACGGCCACCTGGCTGGACCCCTGGCTTCTGGCCAGATCTGCCTCCCTCTGCTCCCGCCGCTTCTTCCGCTGGAGCAGCCGCCGCTCGCGCTCAAACTCCTTCATTCGCTTCACGTAGCTATGGGAGAGCATGAGAAAGGGCGTTACAGCTCCCTGGCCTGAGGTCCCCCCCTCAGCCCTGGGAAGCCAACAACGGGGCTGGAACTCCACCCCAGAGCACTCTGGGAGGCCTCGGAGACCTGTGCCTCTGGTTTAAGTCTGGGGTCTGCCCCCTCTCTGCCTCTCTGGTGGACCCCAGTGAGCCCTGGGCCTCCTGCCTGGAACCCTGGCTTGGCTGATCCTCCAGGTGGCCTCAGGATGCCTGCCCCACCCACCTGACCCTTCCCCTGCCTCCACCCAACAGACCCCCTGAGAGCCTTTTTCAACTAAGGCTCGAAACTCAGGTCAGTTCACTGTCCTTTGCCTCAAGATCCTTGAGCTGAGGGTAGGTGGGGGTGGGGAGTGAGGGATAAGGGGTGGGTCTGGGGCTCACTCGAGGTGCTCGCAGTAGTCCCAGTCGTGCTGCTCGTGCTTGCAGGCCAGGAAGTTGGGGAAGCTGTTGCGCTTGCATTTGAGCAGCCGGATAAGGTAGTGAGCAGTAGTCTCGCTGCTGGAGCACCAGCTGTGCATCATTCATCTGCTGCTGCGTGGCCACCATCTCTGTGGGGAGGGAGAGGGAGGGACTCAGCCAGGGTGGGCTTTCGGGCCCCTAACTTCTGGAGGTTCCCATGATGCCCTGAGTCCAGGGAGACCCAGCCACCCACATGCAACCAGGAGTCACAGCTCAGACCCGTCCCCCACAGGTCAGCTGTGTGGCAGCAGGTGACTGGCGTCCTCTGATGGAGGCAGATGGAGTGTCCTTTTCTCATTTGTTCAAAGGCAACCTGGACACCGAGGCCCAGGCAAGGGGAGTCCCTGTCTCCCCAAGCACCTCAGCATCCACGTGGATCCTCATCTCCCCAGACAGTCCCACCCTGCAGAACCCACTTTCTCCCAGCGCCCCCCTCTGCCGGGCATAACCCAGTGTGGGGGCTGGGCAACCTGGATCCCAGCTGTGCCCTCTCACCAGAGTGTGGCCTCTCGCAAATTCAGTTTCTTCCCCTCAGGAGTGGACTAACGTCCCCACTCCCAAGTCAACCGAGTGAGCGTGAAGGAACGAATGTAGGTGCTCAGTGCCCCCTTCAGTGAGGCTGAACTAGCCACTGGGCTGCGCCCCATTCACCTGGCAAATCTGACCTGGGACCAAGTCAACCTTCAGGGGTTGATGGGGGCCCTTAGAAGTAAGTCTGGGCGCACACTCCATGCCGGCAATCTCCCAGCTCCCTGCAATCTTCCCCACTGGCGTCTCTTCCCTCTGCTTCTGAACCCTGTGCCTCTGCCTCCTTCAGGCCCTGGTCCTCATCTCCTGCCCCTGCACAGAACCCCTGGCTTCCACACTTCGCACAGCCCTGCCCACACAAGGCTCTCACAAGGGCAACTGAGACCCCAGGACACTGCCCTTCCTTAGCTGCTTTCTTGAACATTCTCTTCCCCTGGCTCTCCCCTCCCCAGGCTTCCTCCCATCTCTGTGGCTTTGGCTTCCTGAGGTCCTCGCTGAGAGCCTCTGCTCCTTTTAATCCATGGCTTCCATCACCACCCGATAGACCCTTAAGCCCCAACTCGGTACCCCCTCCCTCACCTTGTCTGAGCGCCAGGCCCATAATCCACCTGTAGCCAGCCCCCTGCTGGTTTCCATGGCAATGTGACTGCAACTTGCACCTGGCATAACCAGTCAGCAGTTAGGATTTATGGAGTCACTGTTAGGGATCCTGCTCTTGGAGGGAGACACAGTACAAACAGGTGGAGCCAATGTCACAGAATGTCCAGAATGCTAAGCATTGGAAAAGAAAGCAAGGGAGAGAGAGGCAGTGTTGGAGGTGGGTCACAATTTTAGTGAAGGGATCCTTTAGAACAGTGGTTCTCAACCTTCTGGCCCTTTAAATACAGTTCCTCATGTTGTGACCCAACCATAAAATTATTTTCGTTGCTACTTCATAACGGTAATGTTGCTACTGTTATGAATCATAATGTAAATATCTGATATGCAGGATGGTCTTAGGCGACCCCTGTGAAAGGGTCGTTCGACCACCAAAGGGGTCGCGACCCACAGGTTGAGAACCGCTGCTTTAGAAAGTGGCATCTGAAGGTGAGGGAATGAGACATGAAGACCCCCGGGGGAAGGGCATTCCGAGTAGCGGAACAATAGGTGCAAAGGCCTTAAGGTGAGGGGACAGCCTCAGGATGCCCCAGGGATTTGGATTGAGCATGTGGTCTGAGTGTGGGCTTGCCAAGTGCAAGATGCTTGTTAACACTGTGGAGAGATGCCAATCAGGCAGCGGGGTCCATGAGTCTGGGGTTCAGGGTCAAGGCCCATCTGCAAGTAAAAACTTGGGAGCACTGGGACACAGAAGGCATTTGAAGCTAGGACACTAGCAGAGAACCCCAGGGAATGAGTGGAGACCCGGGCTCCCCAATATTTACGATACGGGGAGTGGGGTTGGATCAGTGAAGAAGCCCACATTGAGGTGGGCAGGAGTGGGGGAATCCTGGCAGCCGGGTGAGGAAGGGCTTCCATGAAGAAGCAGCGATCAACTATGACTGGCATTGCTGCAGTGGGGTTAGTTGGAACTGGGAATTGAGAGTGGGTATAGCAATAGTGCGTGCGACAAACTTGATCAGAGCTCCTGCAGTGAAGTGGAGAGATAGCTGGAGGGGGAGGGGGTCCAGGAGGGGATTGAAAACAGTCAAAGTAACTATTGTATTTGCATGTTGATGGAAAAAACAATGTTGCAACAGAAAGGGAGAATGATAGGGGTGCCCTTGGATAGGTGAGAGGATGGGATGGAGGTCACAAGGGGTTTTCTGGAGCAGGGTCAGATCATCTGAAGTAACAGCAGAGGAGTGCCAGGGAGCCATGAGAGCTCTTTTGACAAGTTTCTATTTTCTTTTAAAAATATGTTTTTGTTGATTTATTTTAGAGAGAAGAAGGGAGAGATAGAAACACCAATGAGAGAGAATCATTGATCAGTGCCTCCTGCACACCCCCAACTGGAGATGGTGCCTGCAAGCCAGGCATGTGTTCCAACCAGGAATCAAACCATGACCTCCTGGTTCACAGGTGGACATTCAACCACTGAGCCACACTGCCGGACTCCACTGATTTTTAGAGAGTGGAAAGGAGGGGGAGAGACAGAGAGAGAAAACATTGATGTGAGAGGCACACTGATTGGTTGCCTCCTGCACGTGCCCGACCAGGACCAGGATCGAACCTGCAACTTGACTGGAATCGAACCCGAGACCCTTCAGTGTGTGGGCCAACGCTCTAACCACTGAGCCAAATAGGGAAACAGCTTCTATTTTCTTAATAAGAGAATTCAAAGTGACTAGCTGAAAGGAGGTACTGGAGTCAAGAGAGAAGGCATGGGACACTCATCTAGGAGGGAGGGGGCGTGGGAAGGGGCAGGGAATGTATCAGGAAAGCCAGCAGCACGAAGGATCAACCAGGGGGTTGGTGGGGAGAACAGTTGTAGAGGCCGATGATGTTCAGCTGAATAGGGGCAGGAGCCAAGGAGAGCTGGGCTTACCCAGGGTTGTGGTTTAGCCAAGCAGGAGGCTGTGGGTGTTTGCAAAACAGAGCAAAGCAGGTGTAAGAAGGCAGGTGGATCAATGGACGGCAAGTTCATGCAGGGCTGACCAACTACCAGGAATCGGGCCACTGAAGGAGTCCACCTCCCAACGTTCTCTCAAATCCAGACCTCTCTGCACACCCCCACTTGGAGGTCTCCCCTTCTCCAAGTCCTCGCCCACCCGGCAGCCAGCACAGCCTTTTGCCAAAGCAAATCTGATCGTGTCTCCTCTGCTTACAAACGCTGGCTCTCCCCTCTCCCGAGTCTCCCTGTGGTCAGCTCCCACTCCTTACCCTGAGGTCTGGCTTCCAGCTATTGCCTCCTGGAAGCCCGCCTCCAGACTTCTCCAAGGTGTAGCCCCCCCAGATCTGCCTGGTGCCGCTGTCTCACTCCCAGGGCTGCGAGTTTCCTTTAATCAGTGCCTGCTGTATCCATGGTGCCCAACTTGGGACCCCGGCCCAGGACTGGCGTTCGATGTGCTTGTGATATTACTACATTAAAAAGCAACGTGCAGCCCTGGCCGGTGCGGCTCAGTTGGTTGAGCGTCGTCCCAAGCACCTAGAGGCCGCCGGGCTGGATTCCCGGTCGGGGCACATGCCCAGGTTGCGGGCTTCTTCCCGCAGCCCATCGATGTTTCTCTCTCTCTCTCAAATCAATAAAAACATATTTTAAAAAAGGCAACGTGCACGACAGAATGCATGGCGTGAGTCCCCGTGTGTCTCCTTGCGCATACCTAAGAATAGAAGTGACATCGGGACAATGAACACGGCCCTTCGCAACGAGCCCTCCCCTGGGTCCGCGCGGACTCCAGGACAAAGCCCAGCTCCCAGCGCCTGGTTAGCCGCTATCGCCACCTTCCCCCGGGTTTTTCCTCGAGCCGTGCCGCTGCCCTGAATGCCTCCACACTGAGGCAGGGTCACGCCTGCCCGCCGCACTCCCCCCGGCCAGGTCAGTGCTGGGCCCAGCCCTGCGGACCCCGGCGTTAAGGCGTCCGCACCCCACTCTCGTTGGCCGCGCCTGCGCATTGGATCTCACCGCGCTCCTTGCGCCCGGGGAAGCCGTAGTCGGGCGGAAAGGTGGGCATCCGCAGAGGGTCTGGCTCCCCTGAGGAATCGCCCAGGTAGTGCCTGGCCAGGTGTTCTCCCATGGCTGCAGCCGCCACAGATTCCTGTGGCGGTCAGGTCACCTCGTTCCTATCCGGAAGCACTGCCCCCTCGCTAGTCTCAGCTTCCGGGTTGCGCTGGCTGTCACGGGGATCATAGAGACGAATGAGTCCGGAGGACTTCCGGTATTTCTGGCGTCACCTGGCGGCCATTCGGAGACATTGCAGGCGCGGCGCGCCCCTTCTCGGGATCTTGTAACTGCCAATGAATGCGAGTGTGTGTAGGTTTTTTTTGCCTCTGGATAGAAATCCACTTGGGTTGGGAACTGAAGGGGGGACGATGTGGGTCCGGGGCCTTCCCCTATCCTCACTGGGCACCCCTGATCTCCCCAGGCTACAGCAAAAATGAAAAATTTTTTTTCATATTATAATCATATTTTTTTAAAACATGGTTTTTCACAAAAACATTGGAATTTGTTTTAAAAAGCCTTGCACAGTATCAATGATATATTTAATGAATATCAAAAGTTTAAATAAAATTATTCCAAAAAATATTTTAGTGAATTTAATTTAAATATGCAAATAAAGTTATCTAAAATGTAAAAGGCTAAGCAACCATTCCACCATCTGAACGCCAGTACCTATGATGCACACTGACCACCGGGGGGCAGACGCTCAATGCAGGAGCTGCTGAGCTGGGGTGACTTGGCAGCAGTGTTTCTCAGGTGACGCATCCCAGAACCAGAGAAGAGGGAGCCCGATTCCTCGCGGGGCCACGTGATTCCACCTTCGGCTGTGGGTTATATTGTTGCTGGGGCACTGTTGGCCAAGAATCTGGCTTACTGCCGAGCTGCAGTGACCGCAGACACCCTTCGAGCCACCCAAGGTGCTGCCGGCCAGGGAGGGACAAAGGGAGGCTGGCTCCAGGGCGTGTCCGGGCCGTCTTGCCCAGTCCCACCCTACCGGCCACCTTCTAATTAATTTCCTTTCAATGTGCACAAACCTGTGCACTGGGCCATTAGTCTATACCCGTGGTCGGCAAACTGGCTCGCGAGCCACATGCGACTCTTTGGCCCCTTGAGTGTGGCTCTTCCTAAGCCTTAGGAGTACCCTAATTAAGTTAAGAACAATGTACCTACTTATATAGTTTAAGTTTAAAAAATTTGGCTCTCAAAAGAAATTTCAATAGTTGTATTGTTGATATTTGGCTCTATTGACTAATGAGTTTGCCCACCACTGGTCTATACTAATGAAAGCCTAGGTGGCCCTAGCGTGACATCATCACAAGATGGCCACCACAAGATGGCCATGTGCAGGCCGGCAGGGGAGGGCAGTTGTGGGAGATCAGGCCAGCAAGGGAGAGGTTAGGGGGCAATCAGGCTGGCAGGCAGAAGCAGTTGGGGGCAATCAGGCAGGCAGGAGAGTGGTTAGGAGCCAGCAGTCCCGGATTGTGAAAGGGATGTCCAATGCTGGATGTCTGTTTAAGTCAGACATCCCCTGAGGGGTCCCAGATTGGAGAGGGTGCAGGCCAGGTTGAGGGACACCCTCCACCCCATGCACAAATTTTGTGCACCGGGCCTCTAGTTTATAAATAAAACTATTGAGAGCCAAAATGTTAAATAAATCCTATTGAATGCTTTTGTGAAAATGAAACAAGTTGCAATTCTAGTATCCTTCTAGTGGCCACTGTAAAGAAGTGGTATTACAACCCAACGACGTGGCTCAGTGAGCATCTACCTATGAACCAGGAGGTCACGGTTTGATTCCCAGTCAAAGACACATGCCCTGGTTGTGGGCTTGATACCCAGTTGGGGGGGGCATGCAGGAGGCAACAGATCAATGATTCTCTCTCATCACTGATGTTCTATCTCTGTCCCTCTCCCTCTCTGAAATCAATAAAAGCATATATATATATATAATTGGTATTACATTTCACACCTATTACATTAGGGCTTACATATATGTAAATTTAAGAGTACATTAGTTAATACTGCTAAATACTCCTTGGTCTCAATGTGCAACTGCAACAAATGTGCTAATTTGTTACTCTCTCTGGAATCCTTCATTGGAACACACAGAGCAGCCATTCATTGGGAGCTTGGCAGTGTTGGGAAATGATACTTGGTTATGTAAGAATAGATTTCATTAGACAAGGGGTTGTGGGTTGAAGTGTGTCCCCTCACCACAAAATATAGGTTGAAGTGAAACCCAACTGGTGTGGCTCAGTGGTTGAGCATTGACCTATGCACCAGGAGGTCACCAGTTTGATTCCTGGTCAGGGCACATGCTTGTGTTGCAGGCTCCATCCCCAGCAGGGGCTGGCAAGAGGCAGCCAATCAATGTTGATATGCCCTTGATGGGAATTGAACACGGGACCTTTCAGTCCTCAGGTTGACACTCTATCCACTGAGCCCAACAGGCTGGGGCAAGGGGTTTGTGATTTTAAAAAGTCCAGCAGAGGCATGCTCCCTCTGAAGGCTTGAAGGGAGAGTCTGCTCCTGGCCCCTCCTGCCTCTGGTGGCTTATCAACAACAGAAAGTCATTTCTCAGAGTTCTGGGGGCTGCAAGTCCAAGATCAGGGTGCTGGCGTGGTCAGGTTGCAGATGGCCAACTTCTGGCCGTGTTCTCACATGGGGGAAGGGATGAGTGAGCTCTCTGGAGTCCCTTTTATAAGAGCATGAATCCCAGTCATGAGGGCTCTACCCTCACGACCCAGTCTCCTTCCAGAGGCCTCACATCCTAATACCATCACAGTGGGGGTTAGGATTTCAATATATGAGTTTTTTTTGGGGGAGGGCCACACACATTCAGTCCATAACACACACTCAGACCACACTCCTGATTTGCCTGCTCTCTTTCTCCCAAACCTGCTCCTCTCTCTGTCCTCTAGTTTTGGGCAAATGGCTGCTCATTTTTCCAGGGGCTCAGGCCCCAAACCTTGGGATCACACTTGATTCTTGCCCTTCTCTCACTTCAGGGAGCCAAATCATTGGCCCATTCTTCTGCCTTCACCACTGAAATCTGTCAAGGCACCATCACCTCTCCCCAGTATGACTGCAGAGCCATCTCCTTGTCCTCATCTTCCGGAATCGCATTCTCAGGGTGCATCTGTCAAAAGGGAATCAGAGAAAAGGTGGGGGTGGGGAGGGTGGGTGGGAAGGGATCAATCAAAGAACTTATATGCATACTAGAGGCTCAGTGCACGAATTTGTGCATGGATGGGGTCTAGCCAGCCCGGCCTCAATCAAGGGCATATCAGGCTGGGCCTGTAGGGAGGAGGAGATGGCGAGAGGTTAGCTGTGGGGAGGGTCCCCAACCCCGATTGGGCTTGGGGGCCAATTGGGGGTGGGGCTGGCCATGGGGAGGGACTGTGGGAAGTGGGTCATCCACCCCACCCACGAATAGGGTGGGGGTGCCGACCAGGGGCCAGGGGCCTGGGGGTGGGGCCATGGGTGGTTGGCCAGCCATCCCTGCCCCCTATTGGGGTGGGGGGTTGATCAGGGGTGGGGCTGGCCAGGGGGAGGGGCTGTGGGCCAATCAGGGTGGTGGGGCACATAGCGGGTGGGGATGGCCAGGGGGAGGGGCTGCGGGATGTTGGCCAGCTGGCCCGGCTCCCTATTGCAGTGGGGGGTACGATCAGGGGCGGGGCTGGCTTTGGGGAGGGGCTTCAGGCTTATTGTGGTGGGGCCTGCTGATCAGGGGTGGGTGGCCTCGGTGAGGAGCCACAGGAGGTTGGCCTGCTGGTCCCACCCCCTGATCAGGCCAGTTTTCTGGCCACAGTGGGCATCATAGTGACCTCCCATTGATTGTTATGGACGCTGGCTTTAAATATATCTACTAGAGGCCCGGTGCACAAAAATTTGTGCACTCACGGGGGGGGGGGGTCCCTCAGCCCGGCCTGTGCCCTCTCGCAGTCTGCGACCCCTCAGGGGATGACTACCTGCTGGCTTAGGCCTGCTCCCTGGGGGATTGGGCCTAAGCTGGCAATCAGACATCCCTCTGGCAGCCCAGCAGCCCTTGAGGATGTCCACTTGCCAGCGGGGAGCAGACCTAAGCTGCAGTCGGACATCCTTAGCACTGCTGAGGAGGCAGGAGAGGCTCCTACCACCACCGCTGTACTGGCAGCCATCAGCCTGGCTTGTGGCTGAGCAGAGCTCCCCCATGTGAGAGCGTACTGACCACCAGAGGGCAGCTCCTGCATTGAGCATCTGCCCCCTGGTGGTCAGTGTGTGTCATAGTGACCAGTCATTCCCAATCTTTCTGCTGTTAGGGTCAGTTTGCATAATACCCTTTTACTATATAGGATAGAGTCCTGGTGCACGGGTGGGGGCTGGCTGGTTTACCCTGAAGGGTGTCCCGGACCAGGGTGGGGGTCCTGCTTGGGTGTCTGGCCAGCCTGGGTGAGGGCCTAGGCCATTTTCAGGCTGGCCACACCCCCTTTAGGGTGGGGGTCCCCACTGGGGTGCCTGGCCAGTCTGGGTGAAGGGCTGAGGGCCGTTTTCAGGCTGGCCAGCGACTGAAACTCCCAGCCTCTCCTTTTTTTCTTTTATTTTGGGATTTATTTACCTTCTATAAATGAAACTTTGTTGCCGTCACTGGAGCTTAGAGCTGGCTCCTACTTGCTCCAGTTCTGAGGCCACAGCCTGCTGAAAGCAGGTATCTGGGGTTTGTTTAGCTTCTATAATTGAAACTTTGTTGCTTTCGGAGCTCAGAGCTGGGCCGCGGCAGGTGGGGAACCTTGGCTTCCTCCATCACTGAAGCAAGCAAGCCTCCTGCTCACTTCAGCTGCGTGGCTGCCGGCCACCATCTTGGTTGGGTTAATTTGCATATCACGCTGATTAGCCAATGGGAGGCATAGCAAAGGTACGGTCAATTACCATGTTTGTCTATTATTAGATAGGATATCTCCAATAGCGTGGTGAAGGCCTGGGGCGGGTGTGGGTGGAGGCAGGCAAGAAGGGGCCAATGGGGAGTGGGGACATATTTAATACTTTCAGCAATAAAGACTTAAAAATAAAAGAGAAATCAGATCATGCCATTCCTCTGCTCAAACCCTCCTTTGGCCCCCCCATTTCATGTGGAGGAAAAGCCGAACCCAGCCCGGAAGTGTCTGACTCGGGAGGTCTGGGGTG